GAGCACAGGCCAACCCGCAACCCCGCCAGTACCCCCCCAGACCGCCACAGACCCAAAGCCGGACCCCCAGCCCATCCGACCCGCCCCCTACCGCCGGCCGCACACCAACGGGCAGGCCCACACTGCGCAGCACCAGAACACCCCCTGCGGGCAGCACCCAGCACCCACACCAGGCCCCAAGCCGGGGGAAGACCCCGGGCCCGCCCGAGGCCGGGAGAGGGGAGCAGGGAGGGACGGGGAGAGGGGGGAGGGAGGAGGGAGAAGTGCAGGAGTGGAGCGGGGGGGGGAGGAGGAGCCCACCCACCCCGCACCACCAGGGGTGGAAACAGCCCCCCAGGGGGGACCGGCCACGCCGCCCCAGGCCCGGGGAGCACGAGGAGACCCCGCCTCCCCCAGGCACACAGGGCGAGCAGTCCAGACGCACCCGCCCCCAGGGGAAACCACCAGGCCCCGCGATCCCCCACAGAGCCAGGGAGTAGGCCCGGATTCAAGGGGAAGAAGGTGCACCTAACACATGCTTAAGACCTTGAGTTCTGATGAACCGCTGTGGTATATTGTGGTGAGAGAGATAGAGGGATTAGGGGTTACATCATTAAAAGAAACACGTTACATATTACACAACAGTCTTTCTTGAGTTGTAATATTTATATGTACAGGTGGCATATGCTCATGGGCTTGCTCTCTAAATGCCGCCTTTCTCTAAATATATCCATCACTTCTTTTGGGCTTGTTTCCATAGCCCTGGTTGCTTGTTTCTCTCCCAAGATCTGGCAACACTGACAAGCAACAACAACAATGGCGGCATCCACAGGATCATGGGGAGCGCGTTGTGTTTGGACCCAGGCCTTAAGGCAGTGCCCCCCCAGCAGAACAATGCACCATGCTACACTGGTCTCTGGTACTGAGGCACCCTTTGAGTCCTGTTGTTTGTGAGGTGGGGCATGTCCCAAAAATGCTTGATCTGATTGGAATCTGAGAAAACTGGAGGCCAGGTTGATGCCTTGAGCTCTTTTGGGCCACTTTCACTTTTGGCCGCACCGAGTCAAGCCATGCTGGCCCGATATGCAATTCCATTATCACTTTAGAAGCGCTGTGCCTGGCTGAGCTGAACCAGAGATGGACCTTCTCAGGAGTACGTCCAAAAGCCAGGCCACCCACCCTCAATCTGGTGGCGGTGACATCTTGCCGACTGCAACCAATCCTTGGCAACCCTGCTTCTCCACTTCAAATAAGCATGTGTGTTGCAACACTGAACTCACCTCTGTCTGCAGGAGACCAGAGAGAAAGGTGTTTTTAGAGGTCTCTGTGTGTTCAGCTCTTAGTATTTCTGTAGCTTCTAACTAAATCTCTGTGTTTTGAAGTTTAGTTTTTGTTACTTGCAAATCAGCCCACTACTTTTAAACGGCATCACTCAAGACAAGCTATCATTGGTTACAGACACACCTCCAAGCGGGTAGCCCTGCTGTAATGGAAATGCAAATCCCTGCTGTGCTGGGCTGATGGCCCAAACCAGCACATGACTGTTGAAAAGTATTTGTCATGTCCCTTGGGCCATTCCTGGGCAGTTTTTGCATTTAGGATTGCTGTTATCATAAGGAGAGAGTGGGGGTTACGATGTTTTGGTGGGTGGAGTTAGGCTTGTGCCAGTTTGGTCCGGTTTAAGGGCTCCACCTGGTTTAATTCACGTCAACTGGATAAACCGGAGGAGAGAATTGCATTGTAACATGCATTATGACAACTTAATAAGGTTTATGTTTGTTTATAAATGAAGTGGAGGAGCCTACAAGTGTTTTGTTCAGTTTGTCTCANGTAACATGCATTATGACAACTTAATAAGGTTTATGTTTGTTTATAAATGAAGTGGAGGAGCCTACAAGTGTTTTGTTCAGTTTGTCTCAGAGGCTTCAGAGGGACTCCGCAGCTCCGCTCAGGTGTCTGCTGCTGCTGCTGCGAGAGATCAAATTTCACTGGGGGCGGGGAAAAGTGAGTGGAGTCAGCAGTCATTCAGTTTGTTGCCATAGTAACCCGTTTCCACTGAAGAAGTTCCTGGTACTATAGGCCCGTTTCCACTGTTCCTGGTACATTTGGGGGGCAGGAACTGCTACAGGAACGTCCTCTCGTTCGGCCTTCTCAACCGCCATGTCTCCACTGAGAGAGCGGAGTACGAGGAAGGTTCCTGTAAAGTTACGGGCTGCCTCTGGATGTGACGTAATCATTGCGCGACCATTTTGACCGGGGCGATGTAGGGATGCCGTTAGCCGATAGCGGTGTCTGTAATAACTCACTTAATGGCCCGTGAAAAAAAAATTTTTTCCAGCGGATGTCTTAGTTACAACATGATTGAGCTAACTGGAGTAGTTTGATGTCGTGGAGGCTTTTAACAGATGACGTCCTGATGTTAGCTTTGCTGCTGCTGTTAGCTGTCCCTGTCAGCTGATGCTTTCTAGATATCGTTATTTCCCAAAACTGAATAAATACCACACATAGCAACACAAAACTGCTTTGCTAGCTCAATCATGTTGTAACTAAGATATCCGCTGGAAAGAATAATTTTTTCACGGGCCATTTAGTGAGTTTTTTTACATGGCGGCGAAAGCTATATGAACGAGCTAATCCTCGTCTGCTGAGTTTTAAAAATGCCGGCTATTTTGTTGCTTTCTGTTGACGTCACATCCCTCCTTGAGTATATCCAATCAGCACCAAGTAATCCCCAAGCCCCAGCCAGGAGTCTTTCGGGGCCGTTCTGAGTACCTACTCCGAGGCAGGGACTTGTTTAGCCCCCGTAAAAGTTCCGGAACTCTGTCCCTTGGGGGTGGGTCCTGCGGTGGAGACACGCACCAACGGCCCCGGCCCCGGCCCCGGCCCCGTAAAATTACCCCAAAGTTCCTGCGGTGGAAACGGGCCTTATTTGGGGGGCTGGAACTACTACAGGAATGTTCTCTCGCTCGGCCCTCTCAACCGCTGTATCTCCACTGAGAGAGCGGAGTTGGAGGAAGGTTCCTTGGTGTCCTTCTGCGTCTTCTTCTTGTGTAACCTTGTGTGTATTGGCGGTTAATACAGCCACCTAGTGGATTGGAAGCGCATTACACCTATAATGGGCTTTTATTGGGAAAAATAGCTCAAATGCGACCCCCAGTGGTAAAATTAGGTATATAATTCAATATATCGGTTCAGTTAGATATTTGGCTTTAAATCAAACCGGTTGGAAAATTTTCAAACCGGCACAAGCCTAGGTGGAGTGTGTCCTATGGTATCCACTAAGTGCCAGGACTCAAGGCCCCTTAGCAGAACATTGCATTATAATGAGATGATCAACCACTTCACCTGTCAGCAGTTTTAATATTGTGGCTGATCAGTCTACTTGCTGTATCCAGAGGTGTGTGATTTAGTGTGCATCGGCATGAAAATGCTTCTGTGTGTTTGTCAGACCTTGGTCTTGTTCCTCTCTAAATCCTGGTCAGTGATGATCCATGGCTCCTCCTGCTGTCTCAGTGGCCCAGAATCACAGTGCTGTTTGGGATTTGTATCCAACTTGAAGCGACCCACCATGTTCTCAAACTGATGAATGCTGGAGCGTACAGAGACAAACACGGGAATCATGGGTAATTACACAAAGTAACTGTTAAAGCAATTCAAGTTTGGTCATTCTTTTTACTACAATGCTTGTTTGTTTGTTTTTTTCTTTTTCTTTTTTTTTTTTTTTTACTTAACTCCCCCTTATTATTTTTGCTGTGAAGCACATTTGGGAGCTGATCCATCATGAAACCTAAAATACTCTGTTTAACAGCAACTATGAGAAAGACACGGATGCTTGGTTTACATTTAGTACAGCAACATGCACAGGATTTTAGGAAATCCATTTCACTGATGGTAATGACTTTCATTAGTATCACAGAAGCTTAGAGAATTGTTCAACTGCATGGGATGTTTGTGCTCTCATCTATTTTTTTGATCCTCAAATCAAAGCACTCTAAATGAATAATGTGCAAATCAAGTGTAAACATGAAGGCCCGAGAGAAAAATGAGCCACTACCAGTTAACACACAATGGGTCTCATTCATGAAAAGTGAGTAAATCTGTGTGTAGATTTGCACATAAAAGCCTACTCTACTAAAAATCTACTCCGGATTCAGGAACACCGCGGGAAACTCAGATTTGATCGTAAACACGTGTGTATGATCATGAATGCCAATCCATCGTAAAGTGACAGCGCGCTCCGGGTAATCAGCAATTAGCAAAATCCCCGCCCATGAATAGCCAATGACCACCATATAAGGAGGTGTAGGTGAATCCAGTCGACCTGTCAGTCATGGCGCAAACAAAGAAAGAGAGGCTCACAGTCTAGGCTTGGGCGATTGGACGAATACATCACCAGTAGCCCATTGGCTGAGTCCATCACGGTTGGTTTCATTTTTGGCGATTTTTTGGGCGATTTTTGTCATTTTATTTTGCTAAATTAATGGTCTGTCTCCACAGAATTAAACTCGGTACATATAGTCCATAATAACTATGTAGAGCACAATTCAAAGTGTGTGCGTATTGGAACTGGCAGCTTCACACTGATTTCCGACGAGTCTTTCACAAAACACGTCAGTGATGGCGGAGCTGAAAGTTACGGCTGGGGTCCACCGGCAACGGGAGGGGCGCGACACGTCTGCAGCGTGATTCCCGTAGCAGCTCGCCCCCCTGTTAATCAATTACAGTGGCTCCACCGGCAACGGGAGCGGCGTGACAACCCCCGTCTGCCGCACGACAACTCTCTATTTTAGGATGCTCTTCTATTTTTGTCGCGCTACGCTCCCCTACGCGACCCTCCAGCAGATAAAAACTACATGAAATAGTGTGCTAAACGAGCACAGTGTGTTTTAAATGAATAAACCATTATCAGAGGTGATATGTGATGATTTTTTTTCATGCATTTACCCATGTTTATCCGTGACATTGTGTAAATGTCCATGGCGGACGTTTGAAAGCGAGTAGATGACAAACAAATATCAAATATATGTAATAACTTAGGTGGAAAATGGTTAACAATGTTACCAGCCATGCTAAGCACCCTCTCTGATGGCCTGCTTGTTGCCGGTATGCACAGATATTTCAGTGCCATGTTGGACATGAGTGGGCTCGCAAAGCACGCTGCATTTTTTTGCTGCATTCATGTGGTGTTGATCCGATCTGATTCGAGTTGCCCAGTTGTTTTTCTGACATGAGGTGGCGTTCATGTGAATTATCCCATTCTGAAAGTAATTTTTCGATTCTTTCCGACATCACATGAATGCAACATCCCTCCTCTTTTTTTTTCTCTGCCATACACACAACTGCCGAATATATCGGCAACCACCGGTTGATGGGCTGACGGTGGCCGGTTGGAAATTTTTAACATATCGCCCAACCCTATCACAGTCCCAACTATCTGCTGCAGACAAGCGCATCGCTGGCATAATAAGGGAGACCTCCTGACAGAGACAGTGACATGCCTCCACTGGAGTCAACATCAAACCCAGACGGTAAGGTGTTGTATCATAATACATTCTGAAAACCATCACTGATAGCGTAGTGGTCACCAAACAAACAGAAGATTCATTTGTGGGGTTTTGAATGAAGTGGGAATGGGAAACCAGAGATGTTTTGTGCGTAATGGATAAACATCATTCAACATGTAGAGAGAACGTGTAATCTATTGAGTAGATTTACATAGATAATTCACAATCATGAACCTAATCTGGATCTTAAACCTGCTAACTGCCAACTAATTTAACTAAATGTGTTATATTTTTAATATTTTGTCATGTTAAGATTACGTGTTTCAAAGGCATCTGTGTATTGTATACATAACAGAGCGCAATACGAGTTAAAATTGTAATTTCCAATAGTGACAAGCAATATTTATGTGCTTTACTAAATTTACACAAGCACTACAAGTGGTCAGGAGCAGGAGTAGATTTTGTTAGTAGCTACAAAAAGATCGGAGCTACTAAAATATTGATGAATGCGAATTTCCGTCTGTGAACAGTTTACACACAAATTCCTTCTTCTCACATTTCATGAATGAGACCCAATGAGCCTGGAGCTGTGCAGGCCTCTGGCATTCAGTTGGTAAACTCAGCTGGGGTTGCCTGGATCACGTGTCATTGCAAAATGATAGCTCTGTTTACCTGTTGTTTGTGCTTTGCTTCATTCTCAAAGACATACTTTAGTAGCCTTACCTCCCAGGCTGGGGGTTCTGGTGGATGTCAGGAAGCACTTCAACATCATGAAAGCCAAGGCGGAATTTCTTGATCAGTGCCAACACCCTGGAAAGATAATATAAATCTGTTAAATACAATGAAGTTTTCAGTTTTTTCACAGAATCTTGTACTTGCTGTAAACCACAACAATCAGGGATGTCGTGATTGCAGCAGTTAACATGAATTTTTGAGGGGTTTTTCTACTGCAAAACACACCTGCAGAATCCTGAAACGTGGACAAAAGATAAGACAAATCACCATGACAGAGGCTGTTGCATCCACATCTATTACTCTAACTGATAAGATTATCAAGGTGATTTAGACTGAATAGCCACAGTGATTGGTAACATTAAGGTAGTATAAATCAGTTATAGAGGCCTGTTTGCATGATAAACTCTGTGTGTGTGTGTGTGTGTGTGTGTGTGTGTGTGTGTGTGTGTGTGTGTGTGAGTGAGTGTATGATAGAGAAAAAGTTCAGGAATTGAGGAGTCTCAAATTAAGTGTTTAAACATGGTGTGACAGTTATGTCTCAATCGCGTACTTCTGTACTAAACACTTAATAGTGCACTAAATGTCTTAACACTGCATAGTACGGGAAAATGCAGCGCACTACTGGCACACTCAAAATGGTCCAAAAGTATAGTGTGGAATGATGGACACTTCGCACCCTCAGTGGTCGCCCTCTTTGTGATGTAGTGGAAGCTACATAACAAACTTTCCATCTTTTGACATGGTTGGGGATAACAAGGAGCCTGTTAGTTATAAATGTTTTTTGCACTAAGTACCAATACTGTTGTCTAACAGAAGCCATTAGTAATGTTTGTTGGGTCTGTAATGATTTGGTAACGTGAGTGCTAGCATTTGCTAGCTAGCTAACTTGCTCCTATAGCTAAAGCAGCACATTTCTAATCAGCACTGAAGTTGTGGCATAAGTTTGGTTTATGTGTGGGCGGAGATGGTGGTCAAATGTTGGTGATAATGCTCCACCGTTAGTTTGCAAATCGCTGTTTAACAAGAAGCTTAAGAAGAAGAAGAGGCAGTTAAAAAAAAAGCCATTGTCATTTCCAGTAGGTGCAAAATGGCAGTGCACGATTTGAGACACTACCCTAAATAGAGCACCACGCAAGAAGTACGTACATGTATGTACTACATTGAAGTGTACTAATGGATGTATGCCATTGGAGACACACAGTTTGACTTGTCTTGGCTGGAAAAGCTGCTGAATGTGTAAACAGGCAATGGTTCATTAAGATATTACACATCTCACCTGTTTCTGGTTTTAATATATCAATGTTGTTTTTACAGCTTGTTTATGTCACTTCCAAGTGGCCACACTCATTGCAGGTTTTACTGTGCAATAGCCAAAAACAGCCATATTCCTGATATTTTTAATGTCATTATCTCAATGTCTTGATTAAAAACATTAAAACATTAAAAAAAAAGTTGGAGGCACAGCTGTTCTCGAGCCATCTGGAGCCATCGTTAATGTTGTTAGTTACACCTGTGGCTTTCTCTCTACAGTACTTCCTGCCACGCTAATCAAAATGACTGCTGGGTCTTTGATAACTGGATAATTCATTATTTCATTCATTTCACTTTATTCTTACACCTTTTCGGCAAAAGTGCCAAAGAAATCAGGATAAAGTGTGTACAGACCACAGCAATCTGAAGTAAGTGCTTACTCCTCTCTCTGCTCCTCCTTCCTCTCTGTGTCTCCGCCCACAAACACTCGGACCTTACATTTGGCCCAGCGCTTCCTCCGAGTCAGCAGGTAGGGCAGCAGCAGGGTCAGACCTGGTGAACCACACACACACACACACACACACACACACACACACACGCACACATACATGCAGTGATAAGGGTACCTGTCATAATGATCTTGATAGAAGAAAAGAAGGTGATAGATAGAGATGAGGTGAGTTGAGGTGGAGAGATGATCAGACCTCCGTCATCAGACAGCCAGTACACATCGATGGTCTTCTTCCCTTGTTTTTTTTGGAACACTGTACTAGGCTGAGGCTCTGGTTCAGTGGAGACAGAAGCTGCAAACAATTTTGTATACAAAACAAATAGTTATATTTTATATTCTAATGACATCAGTATATAGGATTTCTGGGTATTTAAATGGTATGTTTGGAATTGTCCACCCTGACCCTATCTTCTCATATTTTTGTGTCTAAGTGACAGAATGAGAGAGAAGAGACAATTTTTGAAAATGGTCAAGTATTGAGTGTGCCCGCTGCAGCTGGCAGCAGCATAAATGGCTGTAATGTAACCATTCGGGGCTAAAAAATCTTATTTTTGCTACAGACAGGCTCAGGTTAATATTTTAAGTGTCTGACAACATTATGGAACAAATCCCTACAGATGCTGACCTCTTTATTAAAGAGTAAGATCCTTTTTGTTTAACCTGAAACAGCCCTGAAATCCCCATTGCCAATTCCACCAGACTCCATTTAAATCAATAAGTCATTTTATCACTATACAACACACTTTATTCAAAGCTGACAAAAAAAAACCCTCACGAAAACCATCTGGACTCATCTCTCCACTGTTCCAGCAATCACCAACTCTGGTTTGATTGAAATAAACCCATAATTCACCCAGTAAGATGCTAAAATATGCTAGCTCTGTACACACTAAAATGACTGATTATTTGAATGGAGTCTGTTGAGTTTGGCAATGGTGATTTCAGGGCTGTTTCTGGTTAAACAAAAAGGATCTTGCAATTTAAAATCAAGGTCTATCCTTTAGGGATCCTTTCCATAATGTAGTCATGAGCCTTTCAGCAGCAAAAACAAGTACTCTTAGTGGACATAAATTGACATTGCAAACATTCCTGGAGTGCTTACATTGCAGCCTGTACCGGCCCATTTTCAAAAATTGTTTTTCCCATTAGTCACTTAAGCTCCGTTTCCACCAAGCAGTTTGGTACAGTTCAGTTAAGTTCAGTACACATTTTTTCTGTTTCCACTGTGAAAAGTTGTGGAGGTACCAATGGAACCGTTCCTTACCATCCCACTTTTGGTCACTCCTCTGTTGGGGTACCTAGCACACAAATCTGGTACTAAAAGGTGGAGCTGTGAACACTGCAGTCTGTTGATTGGTCAATGGCAGATGGTCACTGTGCTCAGGGCTGAGTTGTGGCTGGTTTTGAGGCTTATGTGACCATTGTTTATACTGTGGCAAATCTTACATATATCAGTAAACTGTAAATGAAAGTATTTTTGCTGCCTCTTGCAGGAGCTGAGACATTAATCCATCAGCACACCTTAAATTTCAGTATGACCACTTTGACCATTCCATTAGTTTTTATTGTCTCTTCTGGATGACATACACTTTTAGTAATGAATGGGTCTTCAAGCATTTAAAAATACATATAAATTTTGACTGGATTATGTGAACTGCATATATTCTAATCCTCACTTGGAGAAAAAAAAAAGTATCATCGAGCACCGTTCCTGTGGGCTATGGCGACACTAAACCCCTGGGCTTGCTGGATAAGGACTAAATGCACGAACCAGCTATTTTTAAATATCTCATTAGAGAGATTCTCACTGCACCCTGTTCTATTTTATTGTAAAATGTCAGTGTGCAGCCCTATTCTGTGGACAATATATGAGGTGCAGACTTCTATTGGTGTCACCTGTGACACGCTAAATGGACCCAGGGCCTAGGTACCATGTCTGAAGGGTTACTTGTGGCTCCAAAGGTACCATACTTAAAGTGTTTGGTGAAAACGGGGCTTTTTCATAATTGTTAAGCATTTACCCTTTAGTGCAAGCTTATTTTTTTCCACATTGAAGGGAGCTCAGGCCAATTTCACTCAAGCGTTTTTATTGCCATGATAAAAGTAACAATAAAAGTAATAGCTTGCATTTTTAAAGCGCCTTTGATTGGACCTAAGAATGCTACATATATGGAGGCTGACAAAAAACAAACACTCTTGAAGAAATGAATGCTGATATGATCACGCATATACATACATGTAGTCCTTGTTTGAATGCGGGAAGGGGCAGAGATGGTGTTTAGACTCTCTTGTCCTCCATCAAAGCTGAGATTAACTGAAACAGCAAGAGAGGAATTTGCGTGTATTGTGTATTCACTCGCAGTCAGTGACTGAAATGATGATGGATGAATGTAGACAGCTAGTCCCACCATGCCCCTTGTTAACACTAGTGTAGCTGCAGCAGAAGTCAGAGTTCATTGAGGGTGCAAAATTAATTTACTCTCAGAGTGCTTCACTCTCATTTGAAATAAGGCTCTCACCAAATGACTGAGGCGGATAAGAGACGTCCAGGCCGTCCTTCATTCTCAGCATGCATACACCATACTGAAGGTCAAAGGCATCGCTGAAACACATGTTCGACAACTTTGTTCCAAAGACATAATTGTCAATGCTTATAACAATGGCACAACAATGTATGCGCACACACACACACACACACACACACACACACACTATGCGGTTTCCTGTACTCACTGCAGTATTCCTATGTAGTTGTGTGCAGCCTGAGGTGTGTCACTGTGGTAGTCTTTCTTGAAACCCATCAGCAGAACATTTGGCTTAATACGACCCAAACCTGCCCCCTGGTGAACAGTCAACAACATGGGAAGAAGAAGAGATAGATCAGGACTCACAGTTATCCCTCTTCCACCAACTTTAGCTCTGGTTCTTCAAGTGGTTCTGTTCATGATTCCTGGAACCTTGGTGCTACCTCGTGAACCAGTTTGCGTTTCCACCAGTTTTGAGCCGTACCATTTACACTGAGGATGTGTCAACAGAGGGAATTGCACAATGCAAAGCGGGAGTAAACAATTTTTGAACCTTTGTTCTGTTAATAAAGATATCCAAAAAACAAGCATGGGACAACTATTAATGAGACCATTGCATGGTCTTTGAGGATTTCCCATTTGAGCTCTCCATTGTTGCCTTCTCCATCTTCTCCTTCCAGTCTGTAGAATGTGACACACCAGCTGACATTGTCATGGTTCGCATTTCAGGTCAGGGAAAACCTGCTTCTTTTCGATTCCAGCTAGGAACCAACTTCTGCGGGTTCTTCTGCACAAATTTATTTTTGGTCGTAATGCTCTGAACAGTTCACAGTAAGGTGCTGAACAGGAACGGAAATGGTTCCATGTTGGTGGAAAAGGGGCAAAAGCGTGTCCACCTTCCTCAGGTTCTCTTCAAGGCATCTAACACTGACAATGCTGGATAACCTGTCTCACATAGCTGATTACCAACTGCTTTGTTAAGTCTGGCTTTAATCCATTTGGGAACTTGCCCACATGAGGCACGTCATTGCCACATGTTAAGCAGCTGGAATAGGAATGTTGTCGACATGGAATTTTGTTTGTGTTTTTTTATTTTTAAAATCTACTATAATGAGTAATAACATATGATTAACCTTTTTATGGTCATACTTGGTTAATGTAATAATTCAGATTGTGGAAATACCAAGCGGCAGCCTCTGGGGCTGAAAAATTAAGCCAATGCAAGGTACCAGAAACTGCAGTTCCTCTGACAGCCGCTTCAGGATGGCTCCAAGAGTGAGTCATTCCCCATTGACCCCCCCATCTTAAAATACCCAACTGTACAACAGAAAAAAACATGTTTGCAGCCTGGTACAAAAAAACATTTACCATAACAACTGAACTCAGCATGAACTCAAGCTAGGCCCCAACAGAGTTCATTTGATGGAGACGGTTCATTAGAATCAAAGAGCAGAGGTATAATTCTGACCTGTAGCAACATGTTCACTCCTGGGCGTAGCTCTGTAGCCACTACACCACTGTAGAATGACTTGACTTTCCGTCGGTTCAACCAGGTAACATGACTGTCGCTGCTCACCTTTTCCACTACTGATGGGGAAGGACCAGCCTTACAGATAGAGGGTGGAATGGGTCATGATTTCAGTGACAGCTCAAACATTAATGTTTCCAAATTTGAATTTGAAAGTTTATTCTTGTGTTTTTACTAAATCAAAAATGAAATCTTCATTGGGTGGTGTGTATGTCTGTGCATGTTGGGTTGTACTCACAGTGACTACATTGCCACACATCATGAGACTGAGATTCTTCGTGAAACAGGCTGCGAGATCCACCAGAGCTGGGCGACTGCTTGGAGGACCTGTTAGCACCAAACACTGGGGTCTGAAAGGTGAGTACATCAGAGTTGGATGCTGAAGTTTAGTGCAGAGCCCCTGCAGACACATGAACACCTTTGTTCTTCAATAAATGGCACTGTCTCTATGAGCCATTCATTGTTTTTACTGGTGACATAAATGAGACTGATGAGGTCTTGGACAGGATCTTGACCAGGGGTGTAGCAGCAAATTCTAGGCCGTGTGCATAATAATCTCATTAAATCCTGCTACTTCCATCAATGAAATATGATCAAAATCAAATCAGCTGTGTCTTTTCCTGACCTGACTAGAACGGCTTATTCACACTGTTGTAATCTCATACCTTGACTACTGTAATACACTTTTTATATGCCTCAGTAAATCTTCAGTTGCTTGGCTTCAAAAAGTGCATAATGCTGCAGCTCGTACTATAAGTGAGACAATCTTAGGTCACATATCACCCCAATTCTCGCCTCCCTCCATTGGTTGCCAGTTAACTTCACAGTTGATTTCAAGATTCTTTTAATAACTTTAAAGCTCAGTTATATAGCTGAGCTTCTGGCTACCTATGCTCCAAGTCATGACCTGAGATCCTCAAGCCTACCCTCACTAGTCAGCCCCAGATCAAGATTGGTAACTAAAGCTTTGTAATTTTCTGCCTGATGAGATTAGGCTGGCTTGCACATCACCTTTTTTTTTAAATCATTGCTTTAAACAGAAGAAGCTTTCCCTTTTAATGCCTGATTTGTACTTTTGTGATTTGTAATTTTTTATGTGTTTTATTTCCTTTTGTTCTGTTTTTGCCTCTGTACACACTATTTTTTTGAGCTATTAACATTTTTGTTGTATTGTTAGTGTTGTCTTTTTTTCATGCACTTTGTGAAGCACTTTGTATCCTTGTTTAGATAAGTGCTTTACATGTTATTATTATTATTATTATTATCATTATTATTATTGTCTCTTTTGTTTTTGATTAATCTCTCTCTCTCACACCTTTTGATTTTTTTTTTGTACGAATTCAGTTTGGTTTCCTTCTCTTTCCTTTCTTTTCTACTTTTGGAACCCTGATGTTTAGGGAAACCATTTTGTGCTTTAAGGAGGGTAAGGGGCCGATATTAATGTCTTAAGATTTTTCTGCCTGAATTTGAGGTGGATCTGGTCAACATGCTAGGAGGAGTACACTAAAATATAAAACATATCGTTTCCTGTCAGTAGGCGGCGCTATAACTATCACTAAACAGTGGCATGTAGATATGTTCAGGCCATGGCTCTTATCAAACATGAGGTTTGATGGAGTTTTGACCATGTGCAGTTGAGTTACAAACCACTTCCTGTTTCATGGCGAAACATGGAAATTTGATGTTTTACCCTGATGAAGAGTCAAAAGCATCACAAATTAACATTGCCAAGGTCTTTGGATGATAGTGCCTTAATTTGAAAAAAAAAAAAAGGTTAACAAAAAGCCCTAAAAATGGAAAGTAAATTCAGAATGGCTGATTTCCTGTTGAGTTTAGGGTATAGAGTTGTAGGCCATTGTAGAAGTTAGTGTCACTCTGGTTCTCTCATCAAAAAGCCTAAGGGATTTTTCCATTGGATTTAGGATTATTGCAGAAAATAAGCTCTGTGGCAAACTAATATTTATGGTACTTACATGTTTTGTTCAGCAAGATAATCTTCACAAATAAACACCTCTTTTATAATTTCTTGAAGCCCCAGTACAATTGCCAGAAGTAAAATGCTAAAATGAGCCTATAAATGAGCTACACTACAGTCACATTATTTAACATCCCTACCACAACGATGCTGAAAAGCTGTGTTTGGAATGAAAACATTTTTTTAAGATACATAAAAGCTTCAGAACTAACTACAGACCTTGTTTCAGGCATCTCACCAAAAATCCATACAAAAAACCTATTGATTTGAGACGAGTGAAATGGGAGTGCAAAAATGCTAACTTATCTTGGGTTTTAGGACTCATTGCTGGGACAGTCTATGGCTCCCAGAGACTTTTTTTAAGTGTGGGGATGTTACATGTCATATGTCCAAATAATAATAATAATAATACACATGGCAATTTCAACAGGGTCCTTGCAACTGTCTGTGCTTGGGCCCTAAGTAATGAGCTTTTAAGGCGCTGTTAGGTGGATTTTGTTACCTTTGAACGGAGCCAGGCTAACTGTTTCCCCTGTTTTAAGCCTTTATGCTAACCTTAGCAAACTGTCTCCTGTATGTAGCTTCATGTAACTGATATGGGTAAGGGATAACAGATATGAGTATTGATCTTCTCACCTAACTGTCAACCACAAAACAAGTGCTTTTCCAAAAAAGTTTACCTTTAGGAGTGAGAACACAAACACAAACTGCAGGAAATTATCCTTAAAAAGCAAAGCTTGATGAGGACAATGAAATGGATTTTGTTGCTGGACAGCCAGCAGTTCCTTATACATGGAAGACCTACTACAGCAAGCAACACTCTGGACCCAAGCTATTCTTCAGTGTAAGAACACCAGGTACTGGCACACTTGACAAGAACTGTTCTTAAATTGAGCTACTATGCTCATCCAAAGTACCACAATCATATCAAACTACAGGTGTGTGATTGTGTTACTGACCTGTAATTCTTGATATGGTCCGCCACATGGTTGAGGCCTACACATTGGTTCAGAGCGATGTTGTAGGAGCTTGCCTGGACTGACGAGCCCCAGTTAACATCTAAGCACAGAGTAGAAGATGGCAGCTGTCTAGTGTGTGACATCACACAGTCAGTTTGTCTGTGTGTGTGTGTGTGTGTGTGTGTGTGAGAGAGAGAGAGAGTGAGTTTACCAGGCTTCTTGTAGAGTGTGTATCCCAAAAGGAAGAAGACGATACCAAAGACAATGAGGGCTGCCCACCAGTTCAGCAGGAACATGATAACTGCACAAACCAAAAAGCCCAGCAACGACAACCACTTACTGTAGAACCTGAAGGATGGACGCCAACCTGTAGATATACACACATACATATGCATACACCTTACACAAATGTCGCTATCAACCAGAAATTCAGCTTCCTCAAAACAATTCCACATCTGCTATGCTTCATTGCTAAGTCTTGTAAGAAATAAGAAATCATTTGATATGTGCATCCATTCATGCATTTATCTGTCTGTCTGTCTATTAGAGCAATATGTGTTGTTTGTGAGTTTTCTACCTGGTGAGTTGGTGATGGAGGCATGGAAGCAGCTGAAGTTGATCAGGCAGTAGGAGCAGAGGAAGAAATTGGAGATGATGGGAGCGATGGTGTTCAGCTCGGCTGGTAAAGAGAAAAGACAGAGGGGAGAAAACAGAATTTCAGAGAACTATGATTCACATTGTTTTTCAAAGTTATAATCTTTACAGGGCAGGTCCATATTTTGAGGTTGTGTATCATTCTGCAGCATCCTAGAAGTATTCCCTTGGTATTCAAATCACAAAATGTAAAATTTACTCAAAGTACATGTGTTACTATTTGATACAATTTCAATATGGTACAACTGGAACCAAAAGTAAAACTACGAGTCACCCACCATACATATAAGTCAGTTAACAATCAACCCCTTCGCTCCATGGTCCGGAAGCCTGAAGAAACGCTAAGTTAGTGTTTAGCTAGCTGTGAAGTGTTCGGTTAGAAGAGAAGCAGTTAAGGTTTGGAATAGGATAAGGGTAAGGGTTACATATGGTTACTTATAAGGTGAATGATGTCTTCATGTATATTGACAGAAAAAGTGAATTATCGTTATGTTTGGCATCATGTTGTCCACAACAACATTGCATTGTGACACAGATCAAATAACCATCTTGTTGGTGGGTTTTTCTTGTACTGGTGGTAGACATAGTTTGCTGGGAGGTGTTTTGTAGGCTCCTAGCAGAATGTGGCTGCAGCTGTACATGTCTCACTCTATGGGCCCAATGAAGTGGAAGACATGGGTAATTTTGTACCCACAAAGTAAATTTTTTTTTGCTTCATAAACCACTGAGCAACTTCCATATGGGGCCCCACCTCCAACACTGTATCAAGGTTTTTCTTTTTACACATTCATGAATATTATCTGATTGATGATGTTAATGCAAACCCAATATTTCCCACTGCTGCTGCTTCAAAATAAAAAATGTCTTACCAGTGAAACAGCAGGGCTTTTATTGTGAAGCTGTCACTGGAAACACACTGTATTTGTCAGTGAGGTTAGTGCTTACAGTGATCGTTCATCAAAAATGCAACCACAAAACAAGCCGTGGTGCTTTTGGGCAGGGTAGATGAAGCAACAACAGTGAGCTGTTAGATGAAGAGTTGATTAAGAGTTGCACACCTTCATCTCATCAGCATACATGAGACAGCTGTTAATACTGTCTTGCAGCCACTTTTCCCATTTTATAAGACTCTAATCATTTATTTGGGAGGGCTGATGAGTTATAAAACTCACCCTCCAGCACATATTCTCATTAAGAAGTTTCAGGACATTCCTGTTTCCATTCAGACTATAATTGCTATAATCCCTCCTGGTCATCTATAGGGGTCAGAGGTTCTCTTCAAAGCCTCACCAATGAGAATGAAGCAGGCAGCGATGATGTACGCTAGCAGGTAGCCTCTGAGTGGTTCTTCATTCTTGCCGTAACTTTTGCCAAAGAAGCCGATTAGAGGGTAGAGTTTGTCCTTACACAGACACTACCAGAAAAAACATCAGATATCTTTGTTACAGCAGAGAAAATCAGGCTGCACTGAGGTGTATATTCACAAAATACAGCATATCTGGTGTGTATGTGTGTGTGTGTGTGTGTGTGTGTGTATGTGTGTGTGTGTGTACCTGGAAGACTTTGGGAGCAGACACCAGGCAGGCCAAAGCAGAGGACAGCGTCGCTCCAAATATACCAGCAGTGATGAGAGGGGCGAAGGCCGACACCATGCTCATTGCCTACAGACACAAATGTGATGTTAAACACATTGGCTCTCTCACCTGAGGGGGAAACTGTCTGTTTACAGGATGACCTACTGTAACTGTAAGTGATTATTACAGAGGGAGACTGAATCAGTTATGGAGAATGACATTTTTGTTGGCTTATTGCTGTCACTGTTTTCACTGTGTATTTTCTACCTCTTGTAATAAAAGAAAAGCTGTTTTCAGTGATTTAGACTGAAAACAATGCAGGTAATTTTACATAAATACCAGGCACCCGTAATAATTCTATTTACGAAAACTAACGTGAAAACTTCAACATCCCTTTTTCCAAGATGAAAACAAGAGGACGAGCTGATGATATTGATATTGATATTGAAAGTCGAGAACAGTCGTGCTTGTAATTGCCTTCAAATGCCACATGAGCGACAGACTAGCAAACTCCAGTAAATATTCTGCACCAGGATGTTTGGCCAGACAGCAAAAACACCCACAGCGGAGCAGCGTCAGCCGCTGGCGTGAGTTGTGAGCCGTAATTCAGTAAAATCAGCTGTGTATGTCTGACTGTGGATGGTGGAGCTGTAGAATGGATTTGTGGACTTAATTGCAGCTGTGGCTGTTAGCAGTTAGCTCCGCTTCTTAGCCGCTGTACTGCAGTGGCGCAAGCAGCCACCGGCTGCCAAACTTCATATCTGTTGATCCCCGCAGGCCTCCACCCTGTCCTCACTGTCTTGGGAATGTTTGGCTCAGTTATCTGTGAGTGTAGCTGTGTTGTAAGTAAACAGTCTGAACTCAGATCAGTTTTCTCTGACAGAGATGAAAGATATGATATGGATATGGATAAGTCAGAGTTTACAGTGAACCTGGGTACAAATCCTAGTTGTCTCAGATAAATTATTTGTGGTATCAAAGTTTTTGAGACCATAAATAGCCATAAATAGACCATAAAATACAACCTGTCAACTTAATAAAAAAGCATATATATAAAACATAATGGTTAAAAATTGAATGAAACATTTTGAATTTTCATCGACTGAAACTATGAAGGACAAAAATGAATAAATGTGACTAAAACTAATAAGCATTTTCGTCTTAAGACTAAGACTAAATCTAAAATAGCTGTCAAAATTAACACTGCCAGGCAAGTGCACAGATCAAGCTCAAGCACCTGTCCTTTTGCCCTGTGTCTAGATGGGTGCCCATTCTGCAAAACATACATTTTCAAAATTTCCCTCCACCTCTCTGGCAGATTTGGTTCACCAAATGCCTGGTGTGAACGAAGACAAATGCCAAATTGCTTTCCCATTTCTGCATGTCTTTTCAAATCAAAACTCAATTTGACATAATGTTCACGTCTCCCACATCATGTCTCATGTATCTCTGGTAATTAATTCAAATGAAAATAAGTTTGGGGCTGTGGTGTGTAAAGAGCGCAGAGGAGGAGAGGAGTAGAGGCGGAGCGCGATGCTGCAAGTGAATTTGCACGTGACTATTTCAAAGAGAAAGGAGAGGAAGAAAATGATTAGAGGATGAGAACAAATTGAGGAGAGGAGAGGAGAGGAGAGGAGAGGAGAGGAGAGGAGAGGAGAATGCACTTAGCCTGATTGTTGCAACTAATCACAGGCCTACTTTGTAGTTTGGAGGGTGGATTGGTTGGATTATTATTTTATTTAACCAGAGAACAGCGTTTGCACCAACACTTCTCGTGTGGGAAAAAAAAAATGGGGAAGACATGCCCTGTGTTCCACTTGAGCACCTGCCCTGCAAAACGTCTGAGCATGGCACTTATAAATACAATATGATTTTACACTGAGAAACAAAGAGTGGAGAAAAAAATACATTTCATTCATTTTTGTGTCTTGTGAGTGAGCTTGCACTGACCTGATAATAGTTACTGATGCCATAGGTGCATGAGCTATCGTTGATACACTCTGTGAAGTCCCATCCATATCGACAAGCTAAACCAACACAATCCTCAACAGAAGAGGACGGTAACAGGGTGTCGTTTAACAGACCAGATGCATCCCGCACCACACAGGATCCTTGGAACAAACACACACACATGGACACAAGCATGCATGAATAATTAAATACTGAACAAAGTTATTTCATGTATTTTGTCTCTAACTATTATTTACTATGCCCCTAATGGAACATAGAAAAAATAGATGGCTGGAAAAAAGAAAGAATAAAGTTCACTATTAATCTCAATTTCCCCGGTGTTTGGAATTTGATAAATGCCTGCAAGCATTTCAAAAGCACCAATCTAATCACCACCAGGTGTCATACAAGCACTGTCAGATGTTTAATAAACACGTGGTGTTGCACATATGTCTGGCTCTGTAATGTAATGCCTAAGGCAATTTCCTTTCATGCTGATATCCAGCCAATGAGGGTAATAGAAAAATGGGCCATATATGGGATTGTTCATGGGTTATATATTGGCCCCATGCCAATTGCCCACATGTGTGGGTCTACCCAAATGGGCCCCAGATAAGATGCCCATTTTGGGTCCATACCCTCTTGCTACCAAGGTAGCCCTAGCATAACCATGTGGGGGTGAAGTCACAGATGTGGGCAATTGGCATGGGTTCATATGGAACCCATGGACAATCCCATATAGAGCCCATTTTTCAACCCATTTACTACCGACATGGGCCCTATACAAATGCTGGCTGGGCAGTTGCTGGTATAAGGCTCAGCTATGACAATGTGACAGAGTGATTATCGATTATCATTTAATTGAGGCATAAATCTATTATGTACTAATGATATAAATCTTACTGCAAAGTTTCAGTCAATTTATATCATAAAAAACAAACAGTATTAAAGTTTGAATTTTAAATACTGTTGTTCAATAAATTCTGAATGAAAAACCTTCAGTGTGTTCAAAAGACAATTGTTTAAATTTACAATAACTTTGGAAAAACAACTTAATTTCCCACTTGTTGAGAATGCTGTTACCTTGTAATCAAAATCTTATTGTATAATGAATGAATTTGCAAAACACTTTCTATAATTGGGAATTATAACCACAGATATCCAGCAGGGGGCTCTCTCTCCCCAGTAATAGAACAGTGTTGTGTGATTCTGAAATCACTTTGCTGATATGATCAACTTAGTGGCTCACTGACTCTTGTATTGTAAAATAAAGGTAACAGTTAGTCTGTAGAGTATTTATAACATTTCAACAGTTTATTAGTTGAGATTCAACAATTTAATCTATGCTGCATAGGCTAAGTAAGTGGTTCACATCAAAATAAACTATTTAGAGAATATGAAGGTATGTTCATGAATTGTCAGGTTTACTCTATAGATAATCTGTTAAAACTCTATAGAATAAAGTAAAACAGTTGAATTGTTAAAGCTCAACTAACGTGCTGTTAAAATATTAAAGACTCTTAAATGGGATCAAGTACAACAGTTTACTTACCAACCTACAGTACAGGCCAAAAGTTTGGACACACCTTCTCATTCAATGCGTTTTCTTTATTTTCATGACTATTTACATTGTAGATTCTCACTGAAGGCATCAAAACTATGAATGAACACATGTGGAGTTATGTACTTAACAAAAAAAGGTGAAATAACTGAAAACATGTTTTATATTCTAGTTTCTTCAAAATAGCCACCCTTTGCTCTGATTACTGCTTTGCACACTCTTGGCATTCTCTCCATGAGCTTCAAGAGGTAGTCACCTGAAATGGTTTCCACTTCACAGGTGTGCCTTATCAGGGTTAATTAGTGGAATTTCTTGCTTTATCAATGGGGTTGGGACCATCAGTTGTGTTGTGCAGAAGTCAGGTTAATACACAGCTGACAGCCCTATTGGACAACTGTTAAAATTCATATTATGGCAAGAACCAATCAGCTAACTAAAGAAAAACCAGTGGCCATCATTACTTTAAGAAATGAAGGTCAGTCAGTCCGGAAAATTGCAAAAACTTTAAATGTGTCCCCAAGTGGAGTCGCAAAAACCATCAAGCGCTACAACGAAACTGGCACACATGAGGACCGACCCAGGAAAGGAAGACCAAGAGTCACCTCTGCTTCTGAGGATAAGTTCATCCGAGTCACCAGCCTCAGAAATGGCAAGTTAACAGCAGCTCAGATCAGAGACCAGATGAATGCCACACAGAGTTCTAGCAGCAGACCCATCTCTAGAACAACTGTTAAGAGGAGACTGCGCAAATCAGGCCTTCATGGTCAAATAGCTGCTAGGAAACCACTGCTAAGGAGAGGCAACAAGCAGAAGAGATTTGTTTGGGCCAAGAAACACAAGGAATGGACATTAGACCAGTGGAAATCTGTGCTTTGGTCTGATGAGTCCAAATTTGACATCTTTGGTTCCAACCGCCGTGTCTTTGTGAGACGCAGAAAAGGTGAACGGATGGATTCCACATGCCTGGTTCCCACTGTGAAGCATGGAGGAGGAGGTGTGATGGTGTGGGGGTGTTTTGCTGGTGACACTGTTGGGGATTTATTCAAAATTGAAGGCACACTGAACCAGCATGGCTACCACAGCATCCTGCAGCGACATGCCATCCCATCCGGTTTGCGTTTAGTAGGACGATCATTTATTTTTCAACAGGACAATGACCCCAAACACACCTCCAGGCTGTGTAATGGCTATTTGACCAAGAAGGAGAGTGATGGAGTGCTGCGGCAGATGACCTGGCCTCCACAGTCACCGGACCTGAACCCAATCGAGATGGTTTGGGGTGAGCTGGACCGCAGAGTGAAGGCAAAGGGGCCAACAAGAGCTAAACACCTCTGGGAACTCCTTCAAGACTGTTGGAAAACCATTTCAGGTGACTACCTCTTGAAGCTCATGGAGAGAATGCCAAGAGTGTGCAAAGCAGTAATCAGAGCAAAGGGTGGCTATTTTGAAGAAACTAGAATATAAAACATGTTTTCAGTTATTTCACCTTTTTTTGTTAAGTACATAACTCCACGTGTTCATTCATAGTTTTGATGCCTTCAGTGAGAATCTACAATGTAAATAGTCATGAAAATAAAGAAAACGCATTGAATGAGAAGGTGTGTCCAAACTTTTGGCCTGTACTGTATATCACTGACAATACAAGTTATATATTTAGGCTACATGATAAATAAATGCCTAACATGCCTGCCTAACAAATTGTTTGAGGGCCCACTCTCTCTATGGGCCCCCTCACCCCATGGGCCCAGTGCAACCGCCCTGCCTGCACTGTCTATATTTATGCCCCGGTCCTAATATATAAATACTAATGTTACATTACTACTGACATTAGAGTGCAATGTATAGGGTCAGTTGCTTTTTTCACACACTGTGTGTCGGAAGCTAGTTTGCCATTTCCACAAGTTCTTTTAGTCTAATAAATACATGAATAAACATCTCTGTTAAATGCCACAATCATACAAACACAAGCTAAACAGCCTTCACTAACGTACCTTTCAGTCTTTTTGGCCAAATCGAACCAACAACTGCTCACTGCTGTGGATGTGTGCCTTGTGCTAACATTGGTTGCTATCAGCTGCTAAACAAGAGGCTATGGCCCCACAGTAGCTCTCTTTCCCTCTTGTGCTGTGCAACCATAGACTGTATGTGCTGCTGATGAGAGTCTATCGCTGCACAGCAGCTCATTGTTTGTGGTGGGGTCATGTATGTTACTGTGCTACTGGGTTAGCTGCTATTTGAATAGTGTAAAATTGCAACCTGCTAATAATATTTAATTCTGCAAGGTAATTTTAAGTGCATGCTGTTTTATACACTGGCTGAAATAGACATAGTGCTAAGGTAAAACTTCAAAGTGAAAATATAAGGTAGTCAAAAGAGCAAAAGAACATCACCTGGGTGATTTGAAGCCCATCCTACTGTATGGGTAAAAGCCGTTTGGCAGGCAGTTGGGCACAGTACAGTACAGTATACAGTACCTATGGTTGCAGTGATGATGAGGTAGGATATGGTGGTCCAGAATATTGCTGACAGGGTTCCCCTGGGGATAGCCACTGCTGGATTCTGGGAAGGAGAGCACAAAAGACACAAGCATAAGGCTTTTCAAAGTACAATTATATTTATTAAGATTAGTGTGAACATGCAAGACCTGCATGGTATGTAAGGCATGCAGGCAGGTTTATATACCACTGACAACAAAGCATGATGTTTCCTAAATCAGGATTTTGCATGAAAAGAATTAGGCTGAGAAAAGGAAACAAACCATCAGACCTTCAGATCTCCAGAGATGTTAGCTCCTGCCAGGATACCCGTGGCAGAGGGGAAGAAAATAGAGAACATTCCAAAGAAGCTGCCCTCTGGTCCCCGCCAGCTGGGCACAAAATTGGCAGCAAAGATATCCGCTGTTGAAGGTGAAATAGTCAGTTTACTGGAGCACTCTGTCAGGGAGAGGCTCCAAGATTGGTCATACTTGATTTGTGTAAAAACCAGCAAACACATATAAGATCCCACTATACTGAAACAGGAAATTTTGCATAGACATTCAAGAATATGATATTTTGAGCAAGGACTGAACAGGAACCTTTGTAGCTAAAGAAACCCTTGGCTTGTTTCTGTGGGGTAGCTGGGATGATCGTTCCAACAATGTAACTGGCAAATGACACCATGATGACCAGGAAGAACAGAACCTGGGCCTGTGGAAGGCACAATATAGGGTTACAAACAACACAATGAACATTCTGATGTGTCTGTTGCTTCCAGTTTTTATGTTAACTTGAAGGTCCAGTGTGTAGGTTTTAGTGGCATCTAGTAGTGAGGTTGCAGACTGATAACCAACTGAAACGTCTCCCATGAGCCTCCCGCGAGCCAAGCATGTCGGAGAACTATGGTGGCAAATGCAAAAACATGAATGGGCCTATCTAGAGCCAGTGTTTGCTTTGTCTGTTCTGAGCTGTAGGAACATAGAGTGCTCAAGGAATGAGTCCTAAAGCCTGGAAATTAATTAGTATTTTTGCACTCCAAGTTACCTCATCTTGAGGCCAGTGGTTTTTTTGAATGGGTTTTTGGTTAGATGCCTGATATAAGGTCTGTGGTTCACACAAGCTTAAGAGACTGTCACATTTTGTTGCACAACATAAAACACATCAGTAAATACCCCACTACAGAACATCATCACGCCGCCACAGCACCCAGGATACCTTGCACTACATATCTCGACATGGAAAGCCCATGACCAAACATTAATATGTGACTAGGTCGGAATGTGAATGTGATGCCTAACCACAATAACCTAACTTGCCGAAACCTAAAAACGCCCAACCATATTGCTTTTCCTAAACATAACCAGAGTAACTTTACTTGCCGAAACCCAACCTTCGTTACTTTGTGTTAATGACGTAACTTTATGTTCAGGACAAAACATCATTTGTGGGGCACTAATTCGTAGGATATCCAACTGTTGTATGTGCATTTATGGAAGATATTAAATGAACTGTTGTATGAGAATACATTGAGATACCCCTAAATCCTGCACACTGGACCTTTAAGCTAATTGAATGCGCTCTCTAGCTTTAAATCATAGGTAGAGAAATGAAAGCAGTATCTATCTTCTTATGTAACTCTCAGCTCTTTGGATTTTCCAAAAATAATCATGTAACTTCTACAGTGATAAAACATCCAGCACATCAGATTTTTTTTCTTTTTTTTTCTTCTTTAGATTCCAACCACTTGTTATTAACCATGGTGGCAGTTTGCAATAAATGAGCAACGTTCTCATATATTTCATAAGCTAACCTTTGACTCCCATGCCATGCCAGCCATTGAGATACCTAGTAGACATGTGACAGTGATTATGCCAATGATGCGGATGTCATTGGTTCGATCCACCATGACAGCTCCATTTTCCTGGAGAGGAAAGTTCAGAGAAATTTAAGGTCTGTTAAAACAGAATGAAAAACTGTGTCCACAGTATTACTATAAAAGCTGCTCCTCGTACATATCAACACTCTGTGTCTTACTTACGGACATGAGGTCTGTAACAGTCTCAGCAAAGCCCACAGTATGCATGGCGACAGCTACAGCATTGGCAAAAGCAAAGATCAGACCAATGGACCCACCCAGCTCTGGACCAAGGCTGCGACTGATCAGGAAGTAGGTCCCACCTGAAGACAAGAGGGGGAGGGGAAGCAGTGAAAACAATGCATTGTGGGAAATGTGGACATCATGGTAGGTATCACTGGCAATTAAATGTAACAATGTCAGATACAGTCCATGTATTTTTCTGATGTTAGTCCTTTTGTTCACAGTAATAATATTATTAAGTACGGTAGGTTGTTGCATGTTTCACTGAGCAAACAGACCTGATTTGACCTTGCCGTTGGTAGCAATGGCTGAGGTCGAGAGTCCAGTGATCCCGGTTATACAAGAGGACAGCAGGATAATCACCCAAGTCAGACCTGACATATAGACACACACACACACACACACCGAAATGAATGACATGCATTAATGAATGCTTTCATAGAGTGCAATATCTGAGAAGATACAATTGACCAAGCATCTAAACAGATTTGATTGAACATACCTATACCAGCTTGTGCAGTGATCCAAGGCAACCTCAAGTACAAGATCACTCCCCAGATGTTTAACATGCAACGGATCTACAAACAGACAGATTTACCAAAGACACAAGATCTGGTCGAGCTCTGGTTAAACCCAGCCAAGATTTGAAGTTCAACACCAACATCATCATTGTACTATAGAGTCTCTAACCAAACTACATGGTTCTACAGCCTGAGTTCTAACACACCATGATTACTGCAGAGTAAATTACTGATATTGTGCTTTTTATTACAAATTGGTCAGTTTCCCACAATAGCAGTTTCTCACACTCAATAAAACAAAGTGCAATTTTCTTCTGCTATCTCACAACAATAGATTACTGGTCTCGGACCAGAATACATGCTTGATCTACTGGTTCCCTACAAAGCATCCAGACCCCTTAGGTCATCTGGAACTGGTTTGTTATGTGTTCCAAGAACAAGAACCAAGCAAGGTAAGGCAGCATTCAGTTATTATGCTCCTCACCTGTGGAACAAACTTCCTGTAGATCTGAGGTTTGCTCAAACTGTCAGCTCCTTTAAATCAGGGCTAAAAACACTATTGTTTACTGAAGCGTACTCTTAGATTAAATACTTACCTGCTGTATTCCACTGCCTGTACTTTTTAACTACACACTGCTGATTTATTTTATTTTCGTCTTTTATTATTATTCTTTTATTATTCTTATTATTCTTATCCTGACTATTCTGTTTGAGTTTATTGTTAAATCGGCTGCAAATGTCAGAGATTTCAGGGCTGAGGACTGAGTCCGGGCTGAAATCTCCAATAGGAGAAGTTTCAGAGTCTAAGGAATTAAGAGGTTGGGCTGTCGTCATCCCTGTGGGGGGTGACCTGGAAGACTGAGTCAGCTGCTATGACTCGACAGTGGGGAGCACGCTGTGAATTCAGATCTAGAAGGGAGACGTCCTGTGATGGATCTTTAGAGTTCATTACAATCTGAATAAGACCAGTGTGTGGAACCTGTGTCCGGCGGGACGGTAAGACTCTGAGTGAAGGACTCAAGAGCAAATAGTGGGCGTGCTTTGGGTGTATTATTAAGGGAGACATCCTATACACTCATTAAAAAACAGACCTGACCAACAAAATTCAAGATGGTTCAGAGGCAGGGACAGGAGATCCTAGCTGAAATCTCTGACAGAGCCGGTTTTTGAAATTAAACTAAAATGTTGTCTAAGAGCACTTTTTGGTGGCAAGGAGTCGCAGGAGTGATATAGGCCATCACAGCCTGGACCCTTGGCCGTATAGCTTAGGCAGCTATACAAATGTTCTATGCAGTGCTCTTAGATGCAATGTATTGAGCCTATTTTTATTTTATGTTACTGTATTTTATCTCAATTTCTATTTCCTTTTTTAATTGACTGTTTTTATTGTTTTAAATTGTGTCTTGTTGCTTTTAATGTCTCTGTAAAGCACTTTGAATTACCTTGTGTTGAACTGTGCTATACAAATAAACTTGCCTTGCCTTGCCTTGCCTTGCCTTACTTAACAGGCCAATGTCACTCAAATAAACATGTACTGACCAGGAAGAGACATAAAATGACCACAAAGTGATACAAAAAGACCACAAATAAAGGAGAGAGGAAAAAAAATAACTTCAAAGAGATACAAAACAACGACAGGGATGATGATGACGACAAAGCAACACAATACAACCAAAAAAGACACAAAATTACCTCAAGGACAAACAAAATTACCCCAATAAGACACAAAATTACATCAAAGAGACCCAAACATCTACAAAAAGATGCAAAACAACCACAGGGAGACACAAGATGATGACAAAGATACACAGAATCATCACAAAAAGTTGTACTGTAATTACAAAGCATCACTGACAAAAATGAAAGCACAATAAAAAGGTTTATTTCATACTTGTACTGTAATGAACAGTTATTTTATAAAAAAGGTAAGGCATTCACAAAAATTATCACAGTGAGCTTGACCTTTGACCTATGAGCACCAAAAAACAATTGGTGCATTGTTATGAACAAGTGGACATTTACCAGAAATTTGAAGAAATTTCCTCAAGGTGTGAGATATTGAGATATTGCAATTGCGAGAATAAGATGGATGAAAGGTCACAGCGACCTTGAACTTTGACCACCAAAATATTATCCTCGAGTCTAAGTCAACCTTTGTGCCAAATTTGAAGAAATTCCCTCAAGACATTGTTTAGATATAGCTTTCACAAAAATGAGACAGACAAAGTCACAGTGACCTTGACCTTTGACCCATGACCACCAAAATCCAATCAGTTCATTGTTAAGTTCAAGCGGGAATTTGTGCCAAATTTGAAGAAATTTCCAAGGTGTTCTTGAGATATTGCGTTCACAAGGATGGTGCAAACGGATGGACGGATGGACAACATGTCGTATGCTGTAAAGTCCTCTGAGGCAAATTGTTATTTGTGATATTGGGCTTTATAAATAAAACTGGTTGATTGATTGATTGATTGATTGATTGATTGATTGATTGACAACCTGAAAACATAATGCCTCCAGCCACAGCTATCGTTAGCTTATGGAGACATAAAAACTTGACCCACACTGCTGAGCTGCATCTCAAACTGATCTTAAGGGTTCCAGCCTTCAGATGAGTTCCAGCATGTGGATCATGCTGCTTAAAGATCCTAAGACCCTAAAAAGCATTTAACTGATCTGGGACAGTTGTAACAGTCCACATGCTGATTCAGAGACTTTTCCATCGTAGCTAGTGTAAACTAAATCTGAGAGAAATACGGAATATTTGGATTTTTTTGGGTTTGTAACAGGTTTTCATGTCAGCCTTGTGTAATATGTCAGAGTGAAATGTGATGTAATTTTTTTAAACTGAAAATTTAAAGATTGGTATCAAGCAGCTGCAACTCACAGATATCCAACAGAGCCCACAGTGTTCTAACCGAACCTACCATGACTCCCTGTACCCAGCCAAAGCGAGTAGGTTCAGGTGGTGGCTCCTTTTGCTCGTCCTCATCTTCCTCTGAGCTGTCTCCTCCTTCCATCTGTCCACCTGTTGTCTCCTCATACAAGGGCGGTCTGGAGTCAACCTAGTGAAGTGAAGTCAAGTAAATTTTCTTCATATAGGCCAAAATCACAAATTTACCCTTTATCTTTAGACCCCAATGCAGAAAAGAAGAATACTTCATTACAAGTAAAAGCCCTGCATTGAAAATGTTACTAAAGTGAAATATGAAAATGTCATCAGGAAATTGTACTTTAAGTATTAAAAGGAAAAATACCCAATGCAGAGGAATGGCCACTGTGATTATATTATATCATTAGATTAATATTACTCTCGCTTTAATGTAAAACATTTGTTTTACATTTTGTTTATTGGTGGTCATTTGTAACTGTGTTTTAAAGGACTGCAACTGTGATTACCTTAATTTTGGATTAACCTGCTTGTTTTGTGTAACAGTCCAAACATCAACATTATTAAAAAGAAGGAATTAAAAGAAAAAGCAACAAATCCCCACATCTAAGAGGCAGGAACCAAACATTTTTTGTTCTGGTATTTTCATTTTTTATTTATTAATTTTTTGCCTGAACAATGTATAATGATTATAAAAGGACTGCACTTGTATAGTGCCTTTCTCGTCTTCAGACCACTCAAAGAGCTTTTAAACTATGTCACATTCACCCATTCACACACAGGTGGCCTAGACCACCACACATGGTGCTACTTGATACTCAGTAAGCATTCACACTCACTCACACACTGATGGAATGGCCATCGGGAGCAATTTGGGGTTCAGTACCTTGCCCTTGGATACTTTCACATGCAGACTGGAGAAAATGGAGATTGAACTGCTGAGCTTCTGATTAGTGGATGACCTGCTCTACCTCCTAGCCACAGCCGCCTCAGTTGATTAAGCCTTGGACTAGTACATTTTCAAAAGTTGTTTTTTTTTTGTTTTTTTTTTTGTGTATGTGCAAAAATCTTTATTTGTAAAGTAACTAAAGCTGTCAAATAACTGAGGTAGAGTAAAACATACAAATTGAAAGTCTGAAATTGTTGTGACGTAGAAGGATAACATGGTGTGAGAAAAAAATTATCAAGTTCAAGCACCTCAAATTTGAGATATCAACCTCTGGTAAATGGAACAAATATCTGGTGTATCATAGGGTCAGAAATTGTTTCAGACCATTTGAAGCATATTCAGTGGAAAATAAAGGCTAGAATTTTGACTGTTATTATTTTTCTTAAGTTTGGTAATCTGAGTAGAGCTAAACATATGAGCTGATAAAGAGCAAAGAGTCCTCACCTCAGGGTTTGTGCGCAGCTGGTACAGAGACGGTCTGAAACGCCTCCGTCGGCCCCACACCCCTGTGTTGGCGTAGAAGTCATAGTGTGGTGGGGTGTCTAGAGTCTCGTAGCCAGTTAGAGCATGAGATCCGAGGGATGCTACACTGTTCCCATCACCATAACACTGATAGTCCCCAGACTCATCATACCCTCCAGGTGGTGACTTCTCATTGGCTACTGGAAGTCTGGGTATGTATGCAGACGAGTGAACACCATCGCTGGCTACAGGGAACTCCATTCAGAGCAACAGATTTGTTGTTTCTGTATTTAAGTGAATTGTACCCACAAAGCTGGCTAAGACAGTTAGTCTTGGTATAAATACAGCTGTCAAGATGATGGAGCCATTCTGCAGTTTAAGGTGTGTGAAGGAGGCTTGGTTACGAGGGCTGGTTTTATATCTGACCCTAAGCAAGCAGGAAGAGCCTGAGGCTATGTAAAAAGGCTGGTTCAGTGAACACTCAAACAAGACTCATTACAGGAATTATTAAGCAAGACATGGACAATTCCACATTACAAGATAAACCAAAAAGTCATTGTGGACTGAGCTGGCCCTGGAATTACACAGTTCCACTTAACAAATAAGTATTTTTAAAATGCCTGCACAGATTCAACATCTTCCTTGCAAAGTAGTGCATAATTAACATAATTAAGCTATTACAGCAAAAAATACTGATTCCTTATATCCACTTATCTCCACTTTATATTATGTTAGGCTTGTGTCTCTGTTGTGTATATTTCCGATGAGTTTGCATTAAGTTGCATTTTTTTTTCTGGTTATATAATCCCAATTATTAATCACTGATCCCTGGAGGAGATCATTACACACACACAGAAAATAACCTTGACTGTGACAAAACAAGAGCAACAGTGCATGCTTGTTAAGATGTTTCGATGATACTCCACTCTTCAAACTGAATTTAAATTCTATTTTACTTCATTATAAACGTTATATATATTTTACTTAGAAGCTCTCCCATGACAGTGTATAGCTGCTATAGAGCCAAAACATGACTCAGTTTCTCCTTATAACAAGAAAAATGTGATATATTATTATTAAAGAATAGGAAAAAAAATGTTATACCAAGAAGTGTTTGTCATTCTCAGGCCCCTATCTGGAGACTTCAGAACACTGACTTCATTTAAAGTAGTAAACCAGATATTAAGCATTGCACTTTCAGGTCAAAAAAGAACAGTTAAAGCAAATGGTCAATGCAGTGGAGACCGACATATCCTGACTTTAAGGGCCCTATTAAAACTATATATATATATATATATATATATATATCTATAACACATGGTCTAAAGCATGTGGCACAAATGCATTTCGAGCCTGTCCAAGTCCACTTTTCTGCTAGTTAATCTGGGTGCACAGTAAGGCACAAGGGACAAAGAGGTTCTATTTGGGCCCTTAATTAATTAAAGGTGTTTTGGGCATAATATGAATTCAACCAGAGTGTGTCTCAAATTGCATACTTCCATTAGTACAATTCAATGTAGTCCACTATGTACACTACGTGCTTTTTGCATGGTACACTAATTTTAACAGGGTAGTGTTGTCTCAAATCGCACACTGCCATTTTGCATTTACCAAAAGTAACGACACCTTTTTCCTCTTCTTTGTCTTCTATTCAAACGGCAAATTGCAAACGGACTGTGGAGCATTACTGCCAACATTTGACCGCTGTCTCTGCCCACACATACAGTTAACCAAACTTACACCATAACGTCACCGTTGATTGAAATGTGCTGCCATAGCTAGGAGCAATTTAGCTAGCTAGCGCGCTCACATTATTGTGTTATGCCCAGCTCATTGGAGACAAAAAACGTTACTGACGGCGTCTATCTAACAGTTTTGGTACTTAGTAGTAGTGCAAAAAACATGTATAACTTACATCAGTATAACTATGTTCAGTGTAGCCAGCTAAGGCTCCTTGTTGTCCTCTACCGCTATGTTAAAGGTTGAGAAGTTTGTGACGTAGCAGAAGTTACGTCATTAAAACTGTGAATGTTGGAAGCACTTAGCATACTTGTGCACTCAAAATATTAAGTGTTTAGTACCGAAGTATGCAATTTGAGACACACTGAGATTGTCATCTTCCATACCCTTTAGCCAAGTGTTCCTGCACCTGAAGCAATGCTTTTGACATAGCGGATTTGGCAAATTGGAGCAGCGAGTGGTTTTCTGCTGAGAGTAATGCAGTTAGAGTAGTAATGTCAATGTACAAATATCATGGGCCATTTAAGCAGCAAAACTATAAACTTGACTGAGGAAACAGAACTAAACTTTTAGCTTCTGAAATAGTCAATGAAGTTATGCTGCTCCCTGTGTGTAAATGTGCATAGCATCTCTCTAAATGAGGAATAAGATGGCAGCTCTGCTGCTTTGTTCTGATCTCTGCTATGCTTCTGCTTCTGCAGAAGAGAATGTATTGTGAGATTGTATTGTATATTATTACTGATTATTATACTGATATTATTTCACCCACCCACAACCCTCCCCCCACGTCTGTGTGTGTGTAACAAGCAGAGAGTACAAGCCATGTGAACCTGACTATGTAGGAGCATCTTACTATCTGAATTATGTGCCCATTAAATAGCAGAAAAATGGCAGTGGCACAATCTTTTTCTGCTGCCTCAATGCGCATGGGTACACCTCATGCCCATGGGCGCACAGATAGGCGCAAGTACATTTGCTACTTACACAACGTAGGTGCCGGTTATGAAGATACTGTGTTGGTCTGAAACTAGCAATAACAGCTGCGCTGCACTCTGCGCCACTTAGTGGCAGGTAATAGATAAAGCCTTTAGTTTCCAGTATGGGTCAGGCTCCAAAAGCCAACAAGTCCTCCAAATTAAACAACAAAATACGCTGCTGGCTCAGGCCCCCTTAACTAGTTGCTATGCCGCTAAACAGTTATACCGTTAAACCATAACGGTAATCAGCTCTATATCATGGCGACGTGAAAGGAGGGCTTTTTTTGGAAGTGTCTGATGCTGAAAAGCGCTGGTTTTTGATGACTTCAGAGTGATACCTGGTTGAAAATAAACCAGTTTTATGATGTGACAGCACTAAGGTTAAGGTTTGGTAAGGTTTACGGACAAAAAACTTTCGATAGGTTTAGAGACAGATTGGGTTTAATTAAATACAATGTTAAGGTTTGGAAAACACTGTGGTTTGTTTAGGTAAGGGGACCCATCTGCATGATTACAATAAGACCACATGGTACAAGCTAGGGAAAAATCATTGTCATACTTTAAAAAAAATCCAACAACCTTCAGTTGGAAACAGGATGCAAACAGTTGTCTATGGTCAGATACATCTCCAATGTTTACCTGACCTTTACTGACCTTTGTTACCACAACTAGAGGTCTTTGTCACTTGAAAGTAAACATACTGTATATTGACACAAAGACATGACTGTGATGTCATCATGGTTATTTTTTCAAACTTGACATCACTCCTCCAGTACCACAGGAGACATCTTGCTTTCTCAGGCTGAGTATTACTCCTTGTGATGAGCAGACTGGTCTCGATGTGTTAAGTCGGAGAAGTGCACCTTGAAAATAATTTATTTGATGTTCACAAACTTTGACCAACAACCAATAACCCCAGCTGCAGCTGAACAGTTTCGTTGGTGTCCTTGATTGCAATGAAAGACACAATGTCCACTGAAATGTATGGGCTTGTTACTTGGAACTGCTGTCAGACATTGTTAAATGATTACACAAGAGTTACCTCTGCAGCTGTGTGAGCCCTTGAGCCTGACATTGAAGAACTGAATTCCAGGCAGCCTGAAAACTTGTTGCTTTGATCAGAAACAAACTGAGGATGCTAACATTCTTGTCGTTCCTAAACAGTTGCTCACATATGTGCTTAGCTGTTGTTATTTACCATAGCCTTTCTCCGTGGTTGTTTTGTTGTATTATGTTTTATGCAAATGTGTGATCACTAATTGTATCCTTTCATGTTCAGCTAAAATGTAACAAGGGCTCATGCTTTGCTGAAAGTAATACAAGCTGCTTAATTGTCTGAGACCTGAGTTTACACAGTTATTTTCAACAATGTTTAACTAACACACACACACACTGTGCATTTTAATACAGCACTGAATACAAAGCCACCACAGCCATAAAAACACAGACCTACACACACACACACACACACACACACACACACACACACACACACACACACAGTTTTAGAATATGAACATTACAGTGTGTACAGGGTGAGGCCAAGGTCACTATTCATCTCTTCAGTGACTGCTTTCTATGAGTTAGTGTGGGCAGCGTGATGAAAAGAACCATGTTTCCCCCACAGATGTACAAATCAAATACATATTAACAGATATTAACAGCCTATTAAACAACACAGGTAAGGTGAAGCGTGAATACCAGTTAGCATTTAGTACAGGCACAAATCCTCAAAAGGGCTTCAGTTTTTCAGGTGGTTTTTTCATAATTTTGATATGTCCCCTTCATGAAATGGATGATGGTAACAAAAATATTTTATACAGCAAAATATAGCAAAAAGTAATAAAACTGATGAATATAGTGACTCAGCCCAAAGGCAAAAAAAGTACAGAATAAAACCACTCTAGAGGTGGATGTAGTGGTCATTTCTCATATACTCATTTTATAACTAGAGCCTGGAGGCTTTTAAATACAAAGTTGTCAAAGCCAGAAATTTCACAGAGACACCTTTTTAAAAGAAAGGGTTTTTTTTCTTTCTTTGTCTTTTTTTTTTTTTTTTTTTGACATAGCCTAAAGTAGTATATGAAGGTACAGTATGCTGGCACAGTTCAGGCTGTCAAACTGATTAGGAAACTTTGCATAAAAATAATAAAGGAGTAAAACGCTTTTTTTTCATGTAAATATCTGACAATGTATACAAAAATATATGTTTTTTAATCTCATATACTTTATGGAGATACATCAAAAATAAAATTGTATCAAATTTCATTAAACCCTACAGAGCTCAAGATTTTAAAATGTATTTCCCTGTACAGTGTTTAAACTAGACACTCCAAGCGTCATAATACCCCTGTAGTAACCAGTAATGTAATAATTTCCTGAAATTGTAATAGTGCCTGAAAATGTAATCAAATTTAAGGATGCATGATATTGGATTTTTTTTTTTTTTTAATTAGGTTTATATTTGGGTAGGTATGGAGCTATACTGGGGCCAAATGTTTTGTACTTGAAAAAAGAAAATTTGAAACTGAAAATTCAAGTTTTGATCTTGAATTTTGAAAAATACATCAATGTATTCAAAATAAAAATAAGTGTACAAAAAGTTTTTTCAGGTTAAATATAATTATGATTCACTCTTGTAATTCTTTTAAA